TCTTAGAAAACACACAAGCGCCCTGGAACTGGTCAAACAAATCATCTATACGCGATAACGGGTACTTGTTCTTGATGGTAACTTTGCTCAACTAGTGATAGTCAATGCACATCTGCATAGTCCCATCAGTCTTCTTCACGAATAGCACTGATGAACCCCAAGGTGATACACTTGGTCTCATAAACCCCTTTGCTAACAACTTCTCAAGTTGCTCCTTCATCTCCTTCAACTCTTTCGGAGCCATACGGTACGGTGGGGTAGATATAGGCTGGGTACCTGGAGCCAAATCAATACAGAAATCAATATCACGATCCGACGGTATGCCTGGAAGGTCAGAAGGGAACACATCGGCGAATTCCCAAAGTACTGGTACTGAATCAATCGTCGGAGACTTTGTGGTGGTGTCCCAAACATAAGCTAGATAAGACAAACAAGCCTTCTAGACCATATGTCGAGCCTTCAGAAAAGAGATAACCTAACTAGATGAACTAACATAGGAACCGTTCCACTCCAATCTTAGAAACGCTGGCATTGCTAAGGTAGAAGTCTTGGCATGGCAATCAAGGATGGCGTGATATGGGGATTACCAGTCCATGCCTAGGATGATCTCAAAGTCGGTCATCAAGTAACAAGAGGTCCACTCTAATCTCGTAACCAAAGAATGTGACCACACACGACCGGTAGATTCGACCCAGAACCTCAGAATTGCCCACAGGAGTGGACACATAAACAGGAGTACCCAAGGACTCACGAGGAATATCTAGAAAATGAGCAAACAGAGATGACACATATGAATAAGTAGACCTTCGAACAAATAACACCAAAGCATCCCTACCGCAGACATAAATAATACATGTGATCACGGCATCTGAGGCCACTACATCTGTTCTGGACGGAAAAGCATAGAATCTAGCTGGAGCGTCGGCTGACTAGCCTCCACCTGACTGAACAATAGCTGGCTGACCTCCCCCTGCCTGGCCTCGACCTCTAGGACAACCCCTACCAGACTATTCCTTACCTCTGGGCGGTTGAGCGGCTAGTGCTGTAATCATGGGGTGATGACCCTGCTGTACTACCTTGCCGTGAAGTCTGGGGCAGGTCCTCTTTATGGGACCCGAATCTCCACACTCCTAACAACCCCTTGGTACCATAGATTGCTGTCCCGAAGTCTGACCCTGATGGCCTGAAGGACCCTGAATGGCTGTTGGGCGCTATGAACTTTCTGGCATGTCACTGAAATAGGCACTGCAAGAACCCTGATGAACTGGTGGGTGGGAAGAACTCTCTGACATAGCGCTGAAATAGGGTCGCGCTGGAGTACCCCGAGGAGATGGTGGTAGTGCTTGATATGTGGGAGCGCTAGGCTGACCCCTCCCAAACTGATCTCTGCCCCTGGTCGGGGCACCTCTAAGCTCTCCAGAGAATTGGGTCCTCTTGTTCTGCTGCATATGCTCTCTACCCTTTTAGCGATAGCCCTCAATCCTCCGAGCAATCTCCACCACTAGCTGATAATCAGTACCCATCTCAACCTCTCGGGCCATGCTAGCCCGAATGCCGGGGTAGAACCGTGCAACAAATCTCCGCACTCTCCTTGCGTCTGTAGGAAGTATCATAAGTGCATGGCGAGAAAACTCAGAAAAACTCGCCTCATAATTGGTCACAGACATCTGACCCTGCTCGAGCTGCTCAAACTAACACCGCAACTCTTCTTTTTGAGAGGGTGGAATATACTTGTCCAATAAAAGCCGTGTAAACTGGTGCCAAGTCATGGGAGGAAAGCCCATTGGCCTGCCGAGAAGATATGACTGCCACCATCTGCGGGGCCTGCCATCCAATTGGAAAGTAGTGAAATCCACCCCATGCGACTCTAATATCCTCATGTTGTGTAGTCTGTACCTTGACCTATCAATGAAGTCCTGGGGGTCCTCATGTCGCTCACCTCCGAAGACAGAAGGGTGTAGCCAAGTCCATCTGTCAAAGAGCTTCTGCGGCTCGCCGATCCCAGCTGGTCTAAGCCTAGGTACAGCTGCTGCAACTGGCTGGGCTCCTTTCGCGGGTAGTGTACCTGGTGTCAGTGTAGTTGCATGCCCACGAGCCTAAGCAGTAGGGATCTGTACTCCCCTTTCCGCCTGGGATGTGGACGGGGCTGCTGGAAATAAACCAGCCTGAGTCATAGAATCCATGAACTGCGGCATATGGCCCATGACCTTCTGAAAGCCCAGTGCCGTCATGAAATCTACCGGGGCTGGCTCTGGAATAGGCACCTCGCCTTGCTGCTTCATGATGGGATCCTCCACTAAATTCGCTGGTGTTGCTACTTGGGCAGCTTTTGGAAGCCCTCGTCCCCTACCTCAGGCCGGTGCCCTCCCCCGGCCTCGGCCTCTAGTGTAACGACCCGATCGTCGTTCCGATTGTTTAGCCCTGTTTCCCCTATTTATGCTTTATTACGTGTTGCTCAACTCTTTTATATTGTGCTGGGATGGTTGGCTCGGGTTCGGAGTGATTGTGGAGAGAATTGAGACACTTAGTCTCTTAAGTTGGCTTATAGTTAGAAAAGTCAACCGAAAGTTGACTTATAGGTAAATGACCTCGGAATGTGGTTTTTATGGCTCGGATAGCTTCATTAGGTGATTTGGCACTTAGGAGTGTGTTCGGAAGGTTTTTCGGAGGTCCGGAGTAGAATTAGGCTTGAATTGGCAAAATTGAGTTTTTCGTGCTTTTCGGTTGACAGTGGAAAATTAATTATCAGGGTAGGAATGGAATTTTGAAAGTTCGAGCAGGTCCGTAGTATCATTTTCAACTTGTGTGCAAAATTTGAGGCCAATCAGACATGATTTGATAGGTTTCGACATCAAATGTAGAAGTTTGAAGTTCTAAAGTTCATTAGGCTTAAATTGGGGTGCGATTCATGATTTCGATGTGGTTTGAGGTGATTTGAGGCTTCGAGCAGGTCCGAGTTATGTTATGGGACTAGTTTGTGTGATTGGACAGGGCCCCGAGGGCCTCGGGTGTGTTTCAAGGTTGTTTCGGATCATTTCAGGCTATTTTGCAATAGCTGATGCTGGTGTCTGGTGTTGTTCTTCGCGTTCGCGAAGAAGGATTTGGCTTCAGGGACTTTGTTCATCGCGTTCGCGAAGAAGAAAAATCTCTGTTACGCATGTCTGAATTTGGAGGCTCATATCTCACAATCTATATGGAATTTGAAGATGATCCCAAAACTAAAGTTGTAGCCCTTTATGTCTAGTTTTCAGAAAGTAAACCATTTAGCATTTGGATTTGTGTACAAAGAGTTATGGCTGGTACACTACAGACTGTCCGGAAAGATGAAGAAGAAATTTGTGTTGCACAGGGCTGACTTTGGCAGCTTATATCTCAAAATCTTGTGTGGGTGTTTGGGGTAAGTGATTCTTACCTAGTTTTGGTTAATTCCCATGATTATGCCTTTAATTCATCATTTAATTTGTGATTTAAGGTGGAAATTGGGTGAAATGTGTAAGAAAGTTTGGGAAATTCTTTTTGGGATTTGAATGGGCATTTGAGGTCGGATTTCGATGAATTTGATATAGGTAGACTCGTGAGGGAATAAGGATTCTAGTTTTGTTATTTTTATCGAATTCTAAGACGTGGGCCCGGGGGTCGGGTTTGGCCAATTTCGGTTTTTTATGTAATTCGATTATTTTCGAGTGGGCTTTGTTCCTTTAGAGTATATTGATGATATGAATTTTGTTTTGGTTAGAATAAGAGCAATTGGAGGCCGAGTCAAGAGGCAAGGGCTTCACGGATTAGGATTTTGGTTGGTTTGAGGTAAGTAACGATTGTAAATCTAGACCTAAGGGTATGAAACCACGATATTTCGTATTGTTTTGATAAATAAGGTGACGCATATGCTAGGTGACGAACGTGTGGGCGGGCACCGGTTGGGATTGTGACCTTGTCCGTCCCGTAGCAACTATTAAGGCGCATATTTGATTTGAAATGATATGATATCCCGTATTTTAGAGATTGATACTATATTTTGGGTTGTACGCCATGTTTGGGGCCATGTGCCAACCTGTTTGGACCCTCAGGGGTGTTTTACTACTACTCTCACACTGTTTTGATAAAAAATAAAATCTCAGTCATGATTTATACCTCTTCATTTTTTATTCCTTTTTATCACTCTATTTTTAATTAATGAAAGATATTTTGGCCTGAGTCCCCGTGATTTGTAATGAGTTGCCCGAGTGGCTTATGAGGATGATGACTGAGTGAGGCCGAGAGCCGGATTGTGGGGATAGTGATGGATCGGGCTGCACGCTGCAGCATTATATATATATATATATATATATATATATATATATATATATATATATAATCGGGCTGCATGCCGCATCGAGATATATGTGGATCGGGCTGCACGCCGCAGCGAGATATTGGATCGGGCTACACGCCGCAGTGATATAGCGCTTGGGCTGTTCGAGCCCCTCTAGAGTCTGTACACCGCTAGTGAGCGCGGTCAACTATTATGGATCGGGCTGCACGCTGCAGCGGTTACTATTATGGATCGGGCTGCACGCCGCAGTGGTTATTATATGGAATGGGCTGTGGGCCGCAGCGTTGTTATATGGTACCTGTTTAGTGAGAGTGCTGAGTGTGAGCATTGACTTATGAAAGTAGAGTCACGAGTGACTGAGAGGCTCGTACGAGAGGCTTTATTTGTAAGTGGCACTGTGCCCGAGGGGATGATATTTTTATGAAACTACTGTTTTCACTCTTTTTTACATTAAGCCTCTAATGAAAACGTTGAACAAATGTTTTATACAAGATTTTAAATGGAAAATTGGAGATTTTATGAAAAATTCGAAATGTATATTTCTGACTCGATTAAAATTATTTTTGCTGGTGCTTATTATATGGCTTTACATGATCTTTAAATGCTCGTCAGTGCACTCAAGTCTTCAGTTATAATTGTTACTTACTGACTTGGAGTACTCACGTTACTCCCTGCACCTTGTGTGCAGATTCAGGTGCCAAGACTGAGTGAGAGCAGATTTGTTCACTTTGGATCCTTTCGGAGATTGCCAGGTAGCTGCACGGCGTCCGCAGCCTCGCCTTTCTCTTTCCTATTTCATCATTATGTACATTCTTAGACTTGTTTGTATTAAGGGAACAATACAGATTTGTATTTCCTTTTTGATGCTCATGATTGATGATTCCGGGTTTTGGGGGGCAGTGTTTAGATGTCTTTCTTATCTCTACTTGCTTGAAATGCTAATAATGGTAATTTTATGAATCGTCGATTAATATTGAATTAAAGGAAAAGTTCCTTATGTTATGTGTAGTGGATTGACTAGCCTAGTATCACGATAGGCGCCATCACGGCCTGGGTAGTTTTGGGGTCATGACAAGTTGGTATCAGAGCCTAGGTTACATAGGACTCACCGGTCATGAGCAGGTTTAGTAGAGTCTTGCGGATCAGTACAGAGACATCTGTACTTATCTTTGAGAGGCTGCATAACCTTTAGGAAAAATCTCACATTCTTGAATTCTTGTCGTGCGAATCCATTTATTTAGCCAAAAGCGTAACTCTTTGAATCCCTTTCATGTATTCGAATGCACACAAGAGCGCTCAGTATCAGCTATGCATCGACGGCTTGTGATTTCCATGGTGAGGTGCTAGATGTGATTTTTGCATGTTGATGATGGGCTAGTCTTGGGGACATGAGGCTATGTTTATTCTATGGCTTGAGTTCTGAGATTTCGATTTTGTGAGCCGTGCATTTGGGACTTATATGTGCGCTAGTGTCCTTATCGGTGGGGTTTTGTGACTGGATGACTATGTGGCGAGTGTGATTCGATGGTGAGGTGTGTTCAAATTGTTTGATTATGACAAAAGGATTGGCTGGAAATGTGGCAAGAACTATTGAGTGTTTGATTTCTATCTCGAGTTGGCATATGGCTTTGAGTTGTGAGTGTATTGGAAGACCTCTCATGTTGTTTAGTTGTGGAGTGAAGCGGATCTTTCTGTTGTGTTATCAGTTCTTGGTGATGTCTTTTAGGCTAACCAATGCTTCAGTAGCGTTCATGTATTTGATTAATAGTATATTCCAACTGTATTTATACTCCTTCGTTATTGTATTCATTAATAGCATCCTGGCGTACTCACGTAGCCAAGAGGAGCATTCTCAGCATTTGAGGAGGGTAGTATAGAGATTGATGGAGGAGAAACTTTATGCAAAGTTCTCCAAGTGTGAATTTTCAACTCAGTTCAGTAGCATTCTTGGGGCACGTGGTTAGACGAGTGTGGAGAGAGCTTCCAGATGCTCGAGATTGCTTTGACCACAACTCCGGTGTTAGTTCTGACATCAGCTTCAGGTTCTTATATCGCGTGTCTTGATGCCTCGAGGATAGGCATTGGTTGTGTTTTAATGCAGGAGGGTATAGTGATTGCGTGACAGCTATGAATTTTGGAGGGGTATAGAGATGATATCAATTTGAGGCTAAGCAGGTGGGGTTATCTCCCACGGGGTGTCATGAGGTTGTGTGATCCTTAGGTGGTTTTATAGCAAGTACTCCTTTACCAGTAAATGCTATACGTTATAAGTTGAAATTAGATCGCTTGTGGAAGTTGGCACGACTATTGCAATGGTAAATGCAAGATTGCAGATGATTTGAGATGTTAAATGGTTTGAGTTATATATGAGCTTATGAAGGATTTAGTTGAATCTCACTATGATATAGCGGCGGTGTTAGCGTATGGGCATTGTGAGTTTGATTGTTTTGATCTATGGCTTTGAGCCAAGTGAGGGAGGCTGCTAATGATAAGTTGGTTGCACGATTATGAGAGGTATTGGGTTCAGTTCGAGGTATACTGGTGAATCCGTTATGACCTGTAGAGGTGGAGTCTGAGAGACTCGAGTAATGGAAATTTTTGGATACAGGTGGTAATTTACTCCATGGGTAGATAGGTTTTATTGAATGATTGAGTTGTAACTGTAAATGGTGTAGTGCGTGTAGAGTAGAATGTTCTTGGTTGCTTCGAAGTGTGGTTACTTCCTAGTATGTTGGTGTGCAAATGGGGTCGGGTCATTTGATCTGTTTGATCAGTTTAATTGAGATTTGTGTAGAGTGGATGACTCTCGAGAATGGTTTTGATGGATTCAAGGTTATACGTAACAATTGGGAATCTTCAAGGTGTGTATTTTGCTAGAACTGAGATTTACGTTGGAGGGTGTTAAGACTTGTGGAATTTCTACATTATCATGGATTCTACATATCAGTATCAGGAAAGTGAAGGTAATGGCTTTAGATTTGCAGGAAGTCTCTTCCTGGTAAGTATTTTGAATATGGTACTTTTGGGGATATTTGAAAGAGTATTCAGGGGCTTACGAGCCTTTGACGGTACGGTCTTATGCTTGGGTCTAGTGTGGTGAGTCTAGGATGAGAATTGCGGTATTATGGCAAGGAGAAGTATCAATTCAAAGGTAAGTCAGAAGGAACTTGGATAAATAGGACAGCTTTGTAGTAGGTCGGATCGGCATGGTAAGGGGTATGATTAGTTCTTTGGTTGCTTATGAGGCAATGAGTTTTTATAGGTGTTGCTTAGCAATGCTCTTGGGTTTTGGTGACAGGCGTAGCTTCGTTGAGTTATAAGGATTCAGTCCTGCCGGTTTGGTGTTGTACAAATGGGATTCAGATAGTTCCTGATGGTTTCTACCACGGTTAGAGATGTATATTTTCTACTGGCGTGAGGTGCAGGTGATGTATAGTGATTTTGCTTCTAAATGGGATCAAATGGAAAGTTCTTAGCTAGTTGGGTACATTGTTACTTATGGCTCAGAAGGGATCATGCAGTTATCATATTTATCATAGGACAACATGGCGCATGCGGTATGTTGCGTAGAGTTGAGATTTGCATATGTGAGGTCACGGTTCAGTTCTGGAAGAAGGTCAAAAATTCTCAGGCAGCATTGGCAGTTTCAGATGACTAGGTAGATGATATCACTATTGGGTGGCTCGATGAGGGTGCTTCATTGGTATTGCGATGCTCTCTTCTTGGATCGACTGCTGATATTCAAGGTTGCTTGGTGACACGGAAGAACTATAGGGGTATCCCTCATGGAATGATTGAGTATTAGGGATGTGTTATATACGAGCGGTGGAGTTGGGATCAGATATGGTAATTTGTGTGCTTCATGAACTTCAAGACTGAGAGTTCTCATAAACAGATTATTTTGTGGTTGTGGACTGTGAGGATGCGAGCAAAGCTAGTCAGATGTTAGTAAATGATATGATTCTGTCATTGTGAACCTTAGGAGAGGTATCTATCTGTTGTGGGTGACCAGAGTTGATTTAGGGTTATAGGTTGGCCCACTATAGGTGTGTGTTCTGCACCGGGTCGGAATTGTTGACTCCAAAATGCTATTGTTAAGGGATGTACCATTCGATTATAATTGAGTTTATTCATATTATGGAGTGATCTATGAGTTACCCTTCGGTGTTGCGAGGAGTGGTGATTGTTGGTTATATGCACATATGGTGCGGATTTATTTGGGCTTTTATAGCGGGATTTGAGTAAGATAAGTAATTGGTATTACGGGATTGAGATGTATTGGTTATATTCTTTCTGATTCGTGTGGCATGGTATCGTCCGGTTCCCCTGTGGTTATGGCAATGCACTTGGAGTACTTGATGTCGAATTGCGCATGGTTATTGAGTTTGAGCATGGTGGTTTCATGTGGACCAGCATTTGGATGGGATCATGCATTGTAGCGGAGTTATGTGGAGGTAATATCCTTGGTGTCAGATTCGTTGTTTTGATTTTAATATGTGTGCCAGGCTCTTAGCATGGTGTTGTGATGGTAATTGTTAATGGTAGGATAGTCCTCTCGTGTGAATCTTTTCTATGATTTGAGTTCGTGGAATGTTGCTATTGAGTGCACGAGTTGCACAAGTTATGTCTTTGGATTGTATTGATACGTCATGTGATCAGAGTGGTCGTCTTGGATGAGAAGAGATCGTTGTGCCTAGATTGAATACTACCAGAGTTGACTACAGCATGGTTGGAAGGATGATATCGGAAGTTGGCTTAGAAATATGCTATATGTCCTGTCGGAGAAGGGGGAGCTCCGTGACTGTCTGATTGGATGAATGGTTCCTAGTTTCTACGTGTTTCTTTCATCATCGGTAGTATATGAAAGTGTTAGAGCGAGGCATTGCTTGATAAGAGGTTATGTACCAGTATTGGGTTGTTTTGAGTAGCTATTGTGATTAGGAGTTATCACTATGAGTGATTGAGTCATGCGGTATATTATGTGATTACATCTTGGATTACGGACATGGCTTGATACAACGTGTTCAGACTTATTGAGTTTATAGTTGTGGAATTTTGTTCTTTTAAATTATTTCAGAAGTGGAAATTTGGTTCTAAGGTTTATGGGTCAGGTTGGATTTCGAAATTTCAACTATGTAGTGCTATTGGACCTATATGAGATAGGGTGATGTGGGATCACCCTCGGTATGTGTATGGTAGGTTACACGACAATTTTGGTTGTTTTTGGAACAACTCTGGGCACGTTCGAGGACGAACGTATGTTTATGTGGCGGAGAATATAACGACCTGATCGGTCGTTCTAAGAGTTTAGCCCCGTTTCCCCTATTTCTGCTTTATTATGTATTGTTGAGCTCTTTTATGTTGTGTTTGGGAAGGTTGGCTCGGGTTCAGAGTGATTGTGGAGAGAAATGAGACACTTAGTCTCTTAAGTTGGCTTTATAGTTAGAAAAGTCAACTGGAAGTTGACTTATAGGTAAATGACCTCGGAATGTGGTTTTTATGGCTCGAATAACTTCACTAGATTATTTGGGACTTAGGAGTGTGTTCGGAATGTTTTTCGGAGGTCCGGAGTAGAATTAGGCTTGGATTGGCGAAATTGAGTTTTTGGCACTTTCCGGTCGGCAGTTGAAAATTAGCTATCGGGGTCGGAATGCAATTCCGAAAGTTGGAGCATGTCCGTAGTGTCATTTGCGACTTGTGTGCAAAATTTAAGGTCAATCAGATGTGATTTCATAGGTTTCGACATCAAATGTAGAAGTTTGAAGTTCTAAAGTTCATAAGGCTTGAATTGGGGTGCGATTCATGATTTCGATGTGGTTTGAGGTGATTTGAGGCTTCGAGTAGGTCCGTGTTATGATATGGGACTGGTTCATGCGATTGGATGGCGCCCCGGGGGCCTCGGGTGTGTTTCAGGGTTGTTTCGGATCATTTCGGGCTGTTTTGCAATAGCTGATGCAGTTGTCTGGTGTTGTTCTTCGCGTTCGTGAGGATCCTCATGCGTTCGCGAAGAAGGATTTGGCTTCAGGGACTTTGTTCATCGCGTTCGCGAAGAAGAAAAATCTTTGTTACGCACGTCTGAATTTGGAGGCTCATATCTCACAATCTATAAGGAATTTGAAGATGATCCAAAAACGAAAGTGTTAGACCTTTGCGTCTAGTTTTCAGAATATAAACCATTTAGCATTTGGATTTGTGTACAAAGAGTTATGGCTGGTACAGTACAAACTGTCCGGGAAGATAAAGAAGAAATTTGTGTTGCATAGGTCTGACTTTGGCAGCTTATATCTCAAAATCCTTAAGGAATTGGGAAATTACCAAAACACGAAAGTTGTAGATCTTGGTGTCTAGTTTTAAAAATTTAAACCATTTGTCTATTTGAGTTTTGTACTAAATGTTATGGCCATCATACGACAGGCTGTTTGATAAGGGTTTGGAAATGGCTTTTGAGAGTTTTTGTTCATCGCGAATGCGATGGGTGGCCCGCAAACGTGAAGAAGGAATACCTGGGCATAATTTAAAGTTCAAAAACGAGGGTTTTGAGTTCATATCATAAAATTTAATTGGGAGCTCGGTAGAAGGCAATTTTTGGAGAGATTCTTGCGTGTGTGTTTGGGGTAAGTGATTCTTACCTAGTTTTGGTTAATTCCCATGATTATGCCTTTAATTTCATCATTTAATTTTTGATTTGAGGTGAAAATTGGGTGAAAAGTGGAAGAAAGTTTGGGACATTCTTTTGGGGATTTGAATGGGCATTCGAGGTCGGATTTCGATTAATTTTATATGGGTAGACTCGAGAGTGAATAAGGATTCTAGTTTTGTGATTTCTATCGAATTCCGAGACATAGGCTCGGGGGTCGGGTTTGGCCAATTTCGGGTTTTTCTTTATGTAATTTTATTATTTTCAAGTGGGCTTTGTTCCTTTAGCGTATATTGATGATAAAAATTTCGTTTTGGTTAGATTATGAGCAATTGGAGGTAGAGTCAAGAGGCAAGGGCATCACGGATAAGGATTTTGGCCGGTTTGAGGTAAGTAACGATTGTAAATCTACACCTGAGGGTATGAAACCCCGGTATTTCATATTGTTTTGATAAATAAGGTGACGCACATGCTAGGTGATGAGCGTGTGGGCAGGCACCGGTAGGGATTGTGACTTGGTCCGTCCCGTAGTGACTATTAAGTCGCGTATTTGATTTGAAATCATATGATATCCCGTATTTTAGAGATTGATACTATACTTTGGGTTGTACGCCAAGTTTGGGGCCTTGTGCCGACCTGTTTGGACCCTTTGGGGTGTTTTACTACTATTCTCACACTATTTTGATAGAAAATATAATCTCAGTCATGATTCATACCTCTTAACTGTTTATTCCTGTTTATCACTCTGTTTTTAATTAATGAAAGATATTTTGGGCTGAGTCCCTGTGATATGTGATGAGTTGTCCGAGTGTCTTGTGAGGATCATGACTGAGTGAGGCCGAGAGCCAGATTGTGAGGATAGTGATGGATCGGGCTGCACGCCGTAGCATTATATATATATATATAATTTACTTTGGGACTACGGGACGGTATCCCGGTAGATCCCCTTGTTCCGCATATTTACTTTGGGACTACCGAATGGTATTCCGGTAGATCCCCCTTTACATTTACGTTTAGGACTACGGACGGTATGCCGGTAGATCCCCCTATTCTTTATATTTACTTTGGGACTACATAACGGTATTCCGGTAGATCCACCTATATATTTACGTTTGGGATTACGGGACGGTATCCCGGGAGATCCCCTGTTATTATCATTGTGTTCTGAGGTGTGATTTTCATTGATCCTACCCTTATGTAAACATTCTGCGTGCTGTCCGTTCTTTTCCTTATGCTTAGTACCTAGTATGAACTATATTAGGACACTTGCACAAGCATAATCGTGGCTAAGCGCCCTTATCGGATAAGAGGCTTCTTGATATTGCTAAGAATAGATGCACACCCTAGTTTATTTGCCTTCCATATCGGGCTGCATTGCGCAGCGAGATATATGTGGATCGGGCTGCACGCCGCAGCAGTTATTATATGGATTGGGGTGCGCCAACACGTTGTTATATGGTACCTGTTGAGTGAGAGTGCTGAGAGTGAGCATTGACTTTTGAGAGTAGAGTCACGAGTGACTGAGAGTCTTGCTCGAGAGGCTTTATTTTTGAGTGGCACTGTGCTCGAGGGGCTGATTTTTATGAAACTACGGTTTTCACTGTTCTTTACATTGAGCCTCTAATGAAAACGTTGAACAAATGTTTTATACGAGATTTTAAATGGAAAACTAGAGATTTTATGAAAAAATCGGAATGTAGATTTCTGACTCAATTAAAATGATTTTCACTGTTGCTTATTATATGGCTTTACATGATCTTTAAATGCTCGTCACTGCACTCAAGTCTTTAGTTATAATTGTCACTTACTGAGTTGGCATACTCACGTTACTCCCTACATCTTGTGTGCTGATTCAGGTGCCAGGACTGAGTGAGAGCGGATTTGTTCCCTTTGGAGCCTTTCGGAGATTGCGAGGTAGCTGCACGGCGTCCACTGCCTCGCCTTTCTCTTTCCTATTTCGTCATTATGTACATTCTCAGACTTGTTTTTTATTAATGGATCAATACAGATTTGTATTTCCTTTTAGATGCTCATGACTGATGACTCCGGGTTTTGGGGCAGTGATTAGATGTCTTACTTATCTCTACTTGCTTGAAATGCTATAAAGGGTAATTTTATGAATCGTCGGTTAATATTGGTAAAGTTCCCTATGTTATGTGTAGTGGATTGGCTAGCCTAGTATCACGATAGGCGCCATCACAGCCTGGGTAGTTTTGGGGTCGTGACATCTAGCAACGGGGGGAGCAGCTCCTCCTGGGTTTGGAACGTTCGCCGTACGCGTTCTCACCATCTCTGAGAGAATAGAAGAATTAAATTTAGTATACCATCAACTGCATGATTGGAGATGAACAAAGAGTAGTTTCCTAACACCCTATAGCCTCTCGAAGATAAGTACAGACATCTCCGTACCGATCCGCAAGACTCTACCAGGCCTGCCCAAAACTTGTGAGACCTAAGTGAACCTAGTGCTATGATACCATGTTCTCATGACCCGATTTTATTATAGGCCGTGATGGCACCCAACAATGTTGTTGGGCAAGCCAACACTGATCAACTAGTGATTTCCGTTTCAGATAAATTTATAAACAATGGCTTTTTCCTTATTTAAAAAAAAGATTTAGGAGTTTGCAACTTTAACATAAATAAATGGAAGCAATCAGTACGAATCGAAATCATGTGAACAAACCAAAACCATAAGTCTACTAATGTGTGTACCAAGACCTGCTGTCACAAATATGTGGGTAATCTAGTAGAATATACAAAACAAATGATATCCTACTGTCTGAAGGAAATAGAAAGAAAATAAAGCACAAGAGAGACTCTAGCTGCTGCAGGACGCCTCAAAAGGGCAGCTCACGCGGAAGTCTCAAGCCGGGGAATGAATCTACGCGCCAGACTGGTGGCCAGATATACCTGCCTCAAATCTTGTACTATCAAGTACAGAACTGTAGCGTAAGTATATAAAAAATATAAAAATATGTACCCAGTAAGTATCTCGTCTAACCTCGAAGAAGTAGAGACGAGGGGTCGACTCCGACACTTACTAGGGCCAACAATATAGTAATATGAAGTTTCGAATTTAAATCATAATCTATGTAGATATCAATAAGCTCAGAACAAGAATAATAACTGGAAAATCCTTCCAATATATTTAAGAACTCAAGGCACTTTCTTTATTTAAAACAAGTGGCCTTTCAAGCAGCAAATTATACGAACTATAAAGAGCTCCACTCACACACAAATACCATCGCGGACGTTCGACCCGATCCAACATAAATGTAAACTGTGCACTGTCGAGGGTTGAACGGCGCGAAACATAGATTCATCTATTCACCCCATGTGCGAATCATACATGCGACGCGGTCGAACATAAATTTAAGGAAATACCCCGATCGCGGATCATGTGTGCGACGTGGTCAAGTATAATTTTATCATTGAAATCATAATCCATTCTTGATTCTTTTTAATAATGAAGACAATTCAACTTTAAGCCTTTAAATCATTAGAAATCCTCTACTTAATCCCTTTTGTTACGATTAGCACGTATAATAAAATAATAGTGTCCACAGAGCATGGTGTAAACTTAAAACTACCCGAACATAACAGAAATAGTAGCTATGTACGGACACTCGTCACTTCGTCCGTACATAGCTCCCACAAATAATCACATATTAATTAAGTTCACCTATGCAGAAATTCCCACTTACAAGGTTAGAAAAGATACTTACCTCGTCTCAAAGCCTACTTCTAAACTCAAGAATGCGCTCAAACCCTCAAATCGGAGCCGAAAAATCAAAAATTATTCAAATAGTGTAAAAACCAATCTTTATAAGTTCAAAAGTTCATATTCTAACTATTAAAGTGATTACCCAACCCCAAACGCAAGATTCCTAAAATTCATCCCCGGGCCCACGTGCCCGGTTCCGAAAATTTTCGCAGGAAATTGTTACCCATAACCTTAGGAACATAAATATATGATTTTCACTAAGTTCCATTACCTTTTTTTTTGTGGTAAAACTCTATTTCTATCAAAACTCTAGGTTTTTCATCTAAACCCCATGAACGTCACTAATTTTTACATATTAATCTACCCATAATCTAAGTTTTTAACTCACATATGGTATAAATTACTTACCTCCAAAAGCAAGTTTAAAATCCCTCTCAAGAAGCTCTAAAAATCGCCCAACAATGGAGTGAAAAGGAGTCAAAAATGCCTAAGTCCTGCATTAAATGAATTGCACTGCCTCGAGTTTTTTCGCACCTGCGATCAATGGGCCGCATCTGTGTCCTTGCTTCTGCGGACAAGTGCTCGCTTCTGCGAAAATGAACTAGGTTGGCGGGCGTCGCACCTGCGGTCAGAGGGCCGCATTTGCTGAAGAAGGGCCGCACCTGCAAAGCCTGGACTGCCCCTCTGTCACGACCCCAGTTCACCCTCCATGAAACATGTCGTGATGGCACCTAGTTCCTACAACTAGGTAAGACTAACAGTGCGGAATAACAAATTAACATTTGTGGAATAATAAATTAAACCTGAACATACGGAAATAACAACTGTATATAAGGCCACTCAGCCTATACAACTCAAAATATGCGGAAGTCTGCAACTAAATCCCAAAACCCGGAAACTCACGGGAAACACAGGCTAATAGAATGTAGTAAACTGCTCTACACCAGAATGTCTAAACAACATGAAAGGAAAGAAAAGGAACTATCTGCTAAAGCCGGAATAGAGTAAAGACTCCTGGTCTGCGAACGTAGCAGATATACCTCAAGTCTCAGCTAGGACACTCCACCACGAGGATGATACGTCTGGGAGGAAGTACCTGGATCTGCACATGAAAAACATGCGCAGGAAGGGCATGAGTACACCACAACAGTACTCAGTAAGTTCCAAGCCTAACCTCGGTTGGGTAGTGACGAGGAAGGTCAGGGCCCTACTGAGATAACATAATAAATAATGAGATAACGGAAATAGTTGAAACAAAGTCTACAGTGAGAATCTAAACCAGGTAAATAAGGAAGATCAGTAATAGAAAGCAAAGGTAACAATACACGGAAAACTGCCCTCACAAGGAATAGTAGCCGGGGGATCTCTTGGTATCCCGAGGATCTCTTGGTATCCTTATCATCAACACTGGGGATCTGTCGGTATCCCGAGGATCTCTTAGTATCTTCAATAAGTAAACCGGGGATTTCTTGGTATCCCAATATATATATATAGAAGCACATGTGCCAGGGATCTCTTGGTATCCCGCACCCTCAGTCCAGAATATCTCAAGTACAAAGGGATCTCCCGGGAAGCCGTCCCGCAGTCCCAAATTAAACACACAACAACAACGATTCCTAAATCTCGGAACAATGCTAAAAATCAGGACAGGAAGTAGTAAATTA